CTCGAGTGACTATAAAAATTCAAAATCGCATATTAGTTAGAAATACTAGTGAAACATCGTAACCAAAAGTCGAGTGGTAAGTGGAAGTACCCTTGATATGTAAGGCTTTTTCATTTTTCTAAGAAACAGTATTTTGGCGAGGATCGAGATTTCCTTAAATTTCGGTAAAATTAGTTACTAAGCCTGCCTATTATGTATCGTTCTTCCTAACAAGACATTAATTTTCGTAAAACAACAGCCCTCGTTGGCTTCTTCCCGTGTGCATTAGGTGAATTGCGACGTTAAAAATGCGTCTTCTTCAGGAAATAAGTCATGATTTTCAACCCAAAATAACAATCCGTAAATTATTGGTCTCATGTCATTTCTGACTATCCTCGTTTAGCTATCTTTGTCGACACTTCCTGCATTTATTACTTCTTGGCCTGTGATGACTCTAGACTGGGCCCTAAGATGAGACGAAATGAGCACGACCCGTATCCCTTCTCGCGACGGTGGATGTACTCGACCACGACTGACAGGAAAACAGGCCTGTGGCTCAATGGTAGGGCGGTAGACTTAATAAAGCTCAATGGCCAGAAAACCTAGGTTTGCAACACGAGTCAACCAGACCTGCGGCTGTGTGTAGCTGACTGACGTCAGATAATAAGTCAGGAATAGCCAACTAAGACTTTGTTGCCCTTGTCCGTACTCTTTTGTTAAATAACCACAATTATCGCAAGCAAAAATCTCGAAACATAGCAACCCATCAAAGCCACGTTATGACCGTTGTTATGACCCGACCTGGTAAATCAAAATAACACGAACTGTATGCACGATTAATTGTTAGACCCAACCGGCAAGGGAAAGGCACAAGTGGTGACGAAAAATGCATTCTCATCCAATTCAGGTTGGCTAGCATTCTATCCAACTTGCCTTAGGACAGATTGCCCCACGAATGACCATCTAGACCTCCTGCCTTTCTTTCCAGAAATGAACAAGGCTGCAAACAAGATGTATGACGCTAAAGCACCGGAATCCTCAGCGTTTACACCATGTTAAGACAAATCTGACTACTATGGAGCGATCGTGTCATGAGGATGGAAAATGAACACCTACTGAAACTGTTATTCTACGTCGATTCTGTAATGGGTGTTCATCAAAATTTTAAAAAAACAGAAAGGGATTTACAAGGCACCTACAAGTTAACGCGGAGATCTTTATTATCTAGCCTAGAACCTGCCAGCCTAGAGAAGAGCAGAGAAGACTAGAACAGCAATCTAAGAAGCCAGTGGGATCGCCGATTAAATTCAAAAAAGTGGTTGGTAAATCTCGGGCACCGCCGACCCACCACGCCAACACCTAACCCCAGCGTCAGGTTCACGCTGTCAACGAACGACTCCGGACTCAACTGAGCAATAACCCCATAAGTCCACCTCCTAGCTTCGCAAACTTCCACATCTTCGTCCCTGCACCAATTCGCAGTGTCCACGAAGCAGAACATATCCGTCATCACTGGTAGTTAAGCTCCAGCTTCCTGAAGCCAACGACTTCGATCACGGCCACCTCTATCACTTCTGCCCCAATCCCCCGTGAGGACGACGAATAACAGCTCTCCCACACCCATGGCAGACGACAACACTCCTTATGCCCCGTAAACCACCACTTTCACCATTAACAATGTGGACCCGATGCTAGCTCGCTTTAGCTGTGGTCACACCTACACATCACGCATCGGTCTGGTCGGAAAACGTAGGCAGGACCTCTACCGCAGTACTGGTCATACATTGTCCTATCTCTTCCTGAAAAGAGGCCCGTCCATGGGC